TACCACACATCCATCAACAACTGAGATAAACGTAGTGCACCCTCAAACAACGACCATAGACACCACACATCCATTAACAACTACTAATATATCTTGTATAGGTATGGGACAATAGATAAATATATTTTACAAATTAAATTTTTTTCTCATTTAAGATTATCAGACAATTATTCATGGTCGATCGTATGGTGGTCTTGGTGGTGATATAGTTAAGGAATCATTATCACAATCGATATCTTCTCGTTTAGTTGCTGTTCAAATTTATTCATGTAATTGGATACAAGCACTAAAACTTACATATTCTACGGAGAACACAATATTTCATTATAATAATAAGACTAGATTAGAGTCTAATGAAATTTATGGTGATTATGAAAAATGTCAATGTGAACATAATTTGACAACTAAATGTAAAACAGATATATTTAAATTAAGTGCCGATGAAAATATTATTAAAGTTACAGTTGTATTTGGTGAACGTACACCATCATGGTTAATGCATCAAAGTATCTACGTTATTTTGGGCATTCAATTTGAAACAAATAAAAATCATTTAAGTTCCTTCTACGGTGATAGACGAGGAATAAGAGTTGATGAACAATTTAATGGTTATAAATTAAAATATATAACTGCTAGAGTAAGTAATTTTATTCATCGTATTCAATTTCATTGGGATCGAGATGATGATAGTAAAGAGAAACAATTATGTATGAAGATGAATTTATCAACAATAAATATTGAGAAAGACGGTAAATGTATTTATTTATTGTTTTAATTTCAAGAAACAAATAAATTATTTTTCTCATATAGATTCTCTTAGTGATGATTGTTATAAATTACCATATGGTCTAGATTATAAGAGAAAACGTAATTATACAATATCAAATCGAGCATGTCAAACATGGAAGAGTATCCGGTACACTAATAGTTTGTCATTTTCGAATAATGAAATCGACGATGAAGAACATAATTATTGTCGGTATGTTCAAAAATTTATTTAATACATCAAGTTGCTGTTTATTATTATTTATTTAGTAATCCTACGAATAAAGCACATGGTCCTTGGTGTTATGTAAATGACTTAGGACATTGGGAGTATTGTGGTATACCTCTGTGTGGTAAATAAAAATTCAGTAATAATCTGTTCTTGGTATTACTATCCATCCTAAAATACGGTGCCAGTGAGCATTTTTTGAATAGTTTTTGACAGAAAAGTGGTAGATGCTTGTGGTCTTCATCAATTGGAAGCCAAGATCTGACGCCATCTTTCGATCATGAAAGTCAGTTTCACAATCGTTTTCTAAAGTAGATTTCTCAGAGGATCTTTAGGAAACTGTATCATAGCTCAAAAACTTGAAATACAAAAAGTTTGACTTTTGTTCATAGATAGATAGTCCAAAGTGTTCTCTTCAAAATGGGAGTCAAGC